GGCGAAACTTTTCGAAAAAACCATACTGACCAGACTAAGAGAGCACCTCCTATCACCATCCGATCCTATTATCATTGACCACCAATTCGGCTTCAGAGCCAAACACTCCTGCCCCCAACAGATCCATCGCATAGTGGAGCACGCCCTAAGCGGCTTCCAACTTAATAAATATAAAACTATTGCAGTCTTCTTCGACGTCGCCAAAGCCTTCGACAAGGTTTGGCACGACGGATTAATCTTTAAATTATATCAATTAGAGTTACCTGACCGCCTAGTTAGGTTAGTAGCCTCTTTTCTATCAAACCGCACCTTCCGCTATAGATACGAAGGTTCACTATCAACGCCCCGCCCACTACGAGCCGGTGTACCGCAGGGGTCCGCTCTCTCCCCCCTGCTATACACAGCGTACACCAACGACATCCCTCAGACCAAGGGTGTCGAGCTCGCTCTCTTCGCGGACGACACGGCCCTCTACTCTAGAGGAGCCAGTACCAATCAAATCATAGCCAAGCTCCAACCGGCAATCACAACACTTGGGAATTGGTTCCGCGATTGGAGAATCGACGTAAATCCGGACAAAAGTTCGGCCATTTGCTTCGATCCCAAGCGCCGCACCAAAACCATACAACACGGTGCGCGGTCTCTGCGAATGCAAGGCATAGCAATACCGTGGCACCGCACAGTCAAATACCTAGGGATCACACTAGACAAAAAACTCACCTTCCGTGCACACATCACACGCGTAGTCGCGAACGCGCGCTTTTATATGAGTCGCCTCCACCCGATGCTCGGTAAATACAGCAAAATGTCACTTCGTAACAAGCGAACGCTTTACAAAGTTTGCATACGCCCGGTCCTCACTTACGCGTCACCAGTGTTCGCACACGCGGACGAAGCGATTTTGAACAAACTTCAAGTGCTTCAAAATCGCTTCTGCCGCATAGCCACAGGGGCCCCGTGGTACGTCCGCAACGCGGACCTCCACAGGGACCTACAACTCGACACAATTCAAACACACCTCACAGAGTGCTCGGAACGGTTCTTCAAAGCTGCAGAAGAGCACTCTAACACACTCATTAGATCGGCGTCGGGATACGCTCCACACACTCCATCTCGATTCAGGCCCCGCAGGCCCAAACACGCACTCACAGCCACACACAATAAACTCACGTGCGATCTCGCGGCCCTCCTGGCCGCTGAGGACGCGGTGAGTCCCCCCCGCCCCCCCGACACAGAGAGGTTCGATTCCTCTCAGTCCCCTCCCGTTTCAAGTGCACATCCGAGTGCACTTGTCCTCTAAGCGCATTTTGCGTTATTTTAAACTATGCACTAGTTTAAACTAACGCAGCGCCGCATCATCCCCCTCTCGGGGGGTGATCGCTTCAGATGAAGCTTGTAAGGCCCTTCTGGCCATAAGCATGAATAAAGGGTGTTTTTTAGTCAGTAGGAGTCTGACATAACCTTACAGCCGGCTGTAGGGTATCCATGAGGATTTCTCACCCTCTCCCCCGCCTGGGAGGAAACAAAAAAAAAAAAAAAAAAATCGTAGCGGTTCATTACTAGAAAAGTGATACGGTAGTTCAGTGAAGTCAGATTGGTACCTTGAACCCACTGCTCGGTTGTTACGTTATTTAAGTGTCCTTAGTGTAAAGTAAAGTCTGTGTGAAACATTTTTATTTTGTTTTTGTTAAAAGAACGTAATTAAAATTATACGAACAGTGATTGAGTGATTGTTTGGTTTTGTGCCTGTATCAAGCCCCAATGACGCCCACTAAGCCCGTGAACGCTAATGACAAAGTGAATAGTCGCTCTCCGACATGCATATAAAATTTCATGAAAATCGGTCGAGCTATTTCAGAGTAGTTTAATTACGCACAGCGTAACACGAGAATTTTATTTATAAGATTTCGTCGTCTTCGTCGAACGAGAGACCAAAATCTTATAAAATCGAGTTTTATTTTTTATTTATAAGATTTTCGTTCATATGCTAATGGTCATGCGCCGTTCTTACGTCAAGCTGCTAACGTCATCCGTCAACCCCCCAATGAGTGGGAACGATTGCATTGTTTTGCCGATTTCTCTTTTATTTTGTAAGAATACCCTACATAAACTATATATATTTGGATTCTCTATAAAATTTACTATAAAACAGTATTTACACAATGCGTCATGTCTATAATCTATTTAAATTACGTTACGGTAAACTCGGGAAAGATAAAAAAGGCGTTTAGATGGGTAAAATATACTCCATTTTCAAAATTATAAAATGTCCAGGTTTTTGGGTATTTACACATTCTATTATTCTATTATAACTTACCAAATAAAATCATAAAATACCATGCTCCCAAAATTTAATTTTACACTATAGCTCTCACAATCCACGCGCCAGATGCGTAAACAAACACGCGTTAGAAAATACAGGTGTCGGGTTTCAAGTAGGCGATAAAGTTAAAGAAAGCAATAATTTTAATTAGAATTAGAGGTTGGCGTTGCGATCCAGGAGGCTTACTATAATATCTTATTGCAGAACTCATTGAGTTCTCAATAAGAACTGATTTCGAACTCGATTCAGTCGAAGCCTAGGTTAGAATATTTCAACTAAAATGTAGTATCCGATTTGTGATGCCACATTCCTTGTTAAATTAAAATTTTATTGGAAACTAACCCATATTAAAAGGCGTTAGCAACTGACATAATTAGTACATTCTTCAACTACGTACCAACTCATATTAGACAGATTATAGCAATCTCTTAATCATTCATTCAATGAGGGTTTTTTGGAATGACAGGCACCAGGTGGCAGTACTGAGACGAAAGGTCTAATCATCCGTCAAATCGCATATGATCTCATTGTCTATGAATCTGGTTTATGGAGTTGGCGTTAAAAACTTCATACAAAAGACCTCACGTAACAGTGGCGCCAACTGGCGACGTAAATTTTCATAAACACCCTCATTGCGACTACATTACAAACTCCTCAATCTAAATTGAATCGGAAACCAAAAAAAGACAGTACAGATGGTAATCTCATGTACGTATTTCACTTTTCATGCCTACGCTTGGCAGTTGCATTAGGATTGTCAACTTTGGATTGTGCAGAAAAAAATCGTAGTAGTGGCATTCGTACGTATCTAGTTGTTTCATTTATTATCTATATATGTATATAAAACTCATAGACGACTGACTGACATAGTGATCTATCAACGCACAACCCAAACCACTGGACGGATCGAACTGAAATTTGGCATGCAGGTAGATGTTATGACGTAGGCATCCGCTAAGAAAGGATTTTGATCAATTCTACCCCCAAGGGGATAAAATAGGGAAAGAAAGTTTGTTTGAAACTTTGTCAATTTTAAACCGATCGGGCTGAGACTTTGCATGCAGGTATAAAAAGAATCATAGATGAATGTCATTGTGTATAATACAAGCCTAAGAACAAAAACTGTAGTCTACACTTCAGCTCTACACCGAAGCGAAGCGAGGGCGGGCCGCTAGTTCCTCCTAACCGTTTATAGTAAATGTGTGCCAGCTTCTGCCAATATTTGAGTGTTATCGGTACACACTAATTATCTATGATAATAATAAATAATAATATGATAATTATCTTTTTATCACTAATTATCCTTCAACCAAAAATTGGTTGGACGCATCTTCGTGGACTATCTGTAGATGATAACCGCCAATCAGCGTTTCATGAAATCAGGTGACGTCTGAAGGCACCAAAACTTTTAAGGACGTGTATGAAAAAAATGCAGAGGATTGTTTGTAAGATTATAGGGTTTAAAACAGCGAAATGCGAAATTACAGGTAGAATAATCAAATTGTCAAATTGTGGTTTGTGTCAAATACACAAATACACAAAAAATTAAAAGCATGAAGTTGGTCGCTTTAGCGACCAACTTCATGCTTTTACTTTTGTGTTTACCGCACATTAAGAAAATCTACCAACAAAATAGAAATAGAATCTCTATTTAGTGGGTGCTAACGACTGCATTGTAGAGGCCTATCAAAAGTATTTATTAATCTGGAACAACGGAACCAAAGCGCGATTCAGGAGACTACAGCGCCATCTCTTGACCATTGGTGTAGTAGAACCAAAAACCACATCTTTATTTTTCAATGTTACTTTTATGTTATTATTGTAATAAAGTAACAGCTATAGGTATTCATATTTATAATATTTATCCACATGTTTCTAGTTTGTATATTCGGAATACGTGTTTGAGTTTCATACAAGTGCAAATCACATATGTTCTAATAAATTATATTCAGTAGCGATTTTAATTGAATATTTTGATTATTTATTTATTTTTTCAAATTAAAACTGAACTTTATTGACTGTGTCCTTTTCCAGACTTTTTATTAATTTATTGTAATTAATTATTTGCATGCAATTAAAAACTAATTTTAAAGGATGCCAAAGAAGGATAACTTCTCACGCGCCTACATAAGTACACGCACCCATTTTTTATTATTAAATTGAATAGTATAATAAATACGCATTCGTATTAAAGTTGAATTAAAAATACTTTAGGGAAACATGGGCAAGGAGCAGAAAAGGGAATATCTTTAACTTGGTTATATATACCTGTAGCTACTTTACAATTCACACCGTTCGGTCGTCACTGCGGCGCATTCGCGACTGGTTGCCCACTGGGAGCCGCGCGAACTCGAGTGGCGTAGGTATGACACGCTTTCCGACCGTTTGTATGAAGATAGAATACTATATAGATAATATTACCGTGACCAAAGCTAGTTTTGTTTTAAACGTATTGTCTCTGTCTTCTTTTTAGCAAACAAAAGTGTCAGCATCAATTTTAAACCAGGTTTAACTTTAGTCAACGTTTTGGTAATACGACGGAATATGCTTAACTTTTTAATCACAAATTTTAATTTATATAATTAAACGACTGTTCAGTATTTGTTTCTTATGTAAACTTATCTATAAAAAAGATCTTTCCATCGGTATAAAGTGATAATGATCTTTGATCCGACAGATCAAGACAAATGGCTCAACACCTATCCAAAGTGCGGTGGAAGAGCGCAGTCCCCAGTGGACCTCCCGTACAAGGGACTGATAAAAGCCAGAGGCGCGAGGAGGCTGACCTTCAAGAATTACGACGTGAAACCTGTGCAACTCACGGTGGAGAACGATGGGAGAACTCGTGAGTAACAGATAAATTTTTAGGTTATTAATTTATAACCATTTAACATTTTGGAGGAGCTCGATGGCGCAAATGGTTAGCGCGTTCCGATGCGATCGTTGAATTTAAGCAACTTTCGCAGTGGTCGGTCGTTGGATGGGTGACCGAAAATTTACTATCTCGAGCTCCTCCGTGCTTCGGAAGGCACGTTAAGCCGTTGGTCCCGGCTGCATCTGCAGTCGTTAGTACCCACCAACCCGCACTGGGACCGCGTGGTGGGTCATGACCCAATCTCCCTATTCCATCCATAGGGAAGGCCTGTGCCCCAGCAGTGAGGAGATTAATAGGCTGATGATGATGATGAACCATTTAACTGCTAGATTTATCTTCTTCGGCGCTACACTCTTGACAGAGTGGTCGTGGTCGTTGCATCAGGATTGGTGGCGCGCTTTACAATACGCCGTCATTCCTCCCGCACTCAAGGGCGGATCCAGTTTTGGCGCCAGGGGGGGGTCATTATAGTCGTGGTCAAGTCACAGTGGGTACAGATTGTGAAGTGGGTACAGATGGGCCCAGCCCAGGGGGGGGGTTATGACCCCCATAACCCCCCCTCTGGATCCGCCCTTGCCCGCACTGCGGTCTTTCTCGCGCACTCGTGGAGTGGACCGTTGAGTGCCGCTTTTATCTGATCGGTCCAGCGCATTGGTGATCTGGCGCGCGCCCTTACGCATTGGCCACGTTGAGTGCCGCTTTCATCTGATCGGTCCAGCGCATTGGTGATCTGGCGCGCGCCCTTACGCATTGGCCACGTTGAGTGCCGCTTTTATCTGATCGGTCCAGCGCATTGGTGATCTGGCGCGCGCCCTTACGCATTGGCCACGTTGAGTGCCGCTTTTATCTGATCGGTCCAGCGCATTGGTGATCTGGCGCGCGCCCTTACGCATTGGCCACGTTGAGTGCCGCTTTTATCTGATCGGTCCAGCGCATTGGTAATCTGGCGCGCGCCCTTACGCATTGGCCACGTTGAGTGCCGCTTTCATCTGATCGGTCCAGCGCATTGGTAATCTGGCGCGCGCCCTTACGCATTGGCCACGTTGAGTGCCGCTTTTATCTGATCGGTCCAGCGCATTGGTGATCTGGCGCGCGCCCTTACGCATTGGCCACGTTGAGTGCCGCTTTTATCTGATCGGTCCAGCGCATTGGTGATATGGCGCGCGCCCTTACGCATTGGCCACGTTGAGTGCCGCTTTTATCTGATCGGTCCAGCGCATTGGTGATATGGCGCGCGCCCTTACGCATTGGCCACGTTGAGTGCCGCTTTTATCTGATCGGTCCAGCGCATTGGTGATCTGGCGCGCGCCCTTACGCATTGGCCACGTAGATGGGTTAAGCTAAGCGCCAGTGCGGATGACTTCTGCGGGCGCGGGTGGCATGCCACGTCCATTCAGTAGCGGCTACAGCGGCTGACTAAAGTGGACGTATTGAGCCATCCGGCTCTAACTAAAGTGATGCGTAATTTCCTTGAAAGCAGTTCGAATTTTATGCCGAATACTATACTATCATCATCATCATCAGCCTATTAATGTCCCCACTGCTGGGGCACAGGCCTTCCCTATGGATGGAATAGGGAGACTGGGCCATGACCCACCACGCGGGCCCACTGCGGATTGGTGGGTGCTAACGACTGCAGATGCAGCCGGGAACAACGGCTCAACGTGCCTTCCGAAGCACAGAGGAGCTCGAGATAGTAAATTTTTGGTCACCCATCCAATGACCTACCACTGCGAAAGTTGCTTCAATTCAACGATCGCAGCCGAACGCGCTAACCACCTGCGCCATCGAGCTCCTCTACACTATACTATACTTTTACCTAATTATTAGTAGTAAGGTATTATCTAACAAAACTTACTGTCCTGATCTGGAAAAAGCTGTTTGATTTCTTCCCATAGTCTTTTTATTACATTTTTATACTTGTGTTGTGTGCTTAAACGTCCATATAGGTGGTCGGTTTAATATTTGTGTAATAAATGCTTCGGTGTCCATAATAAAATGCTGCCGCTTGTGGATTCGTCCAACAAAAATTGTTTCGCTCTATCCGTCCCGCGCTAGCCGTTTTCAACCGCCCGAAAAGATGTCGTTTCACTGACGCATCTTCTCGGCATGAGATGTGGCCAAAGAAAGTGAGAATACGACCGTGTACGATGAAAGAAAGACGTTATTTGATAGACAGCTCCTGGTGGATTCTAGATTTATAAATCTAACAACAAAAAAATTATAGAAAAAGAAACACGCGCTCCAGTGGGCCAATCGCCTAACCAGATTGCTTTGGAAAACGTTATCGCTTACGATTTCATTTTGTTATTTCTAACCGCCGAAATACCTCACGCTCATTTTCTTTAACATTGTTATTACCAATGCATAAGAAAAAAAAAGAGCGCGAGGCATTTGAAAACCTCAGGGGGCTAGAAATAACAAAATGAAATCGTAAGCGATAGCGTTTTCCAAAGCAATCCAGTTAGCCGATTGGCCCCCAGGGGGCCATTTGCCTAACGGAAATGCTTTGGGAAACGCTAACGCTTTCGATATTTATTTGTTATTTCTGACCGCCGAAGGTTTTCAAATACCTCAAGCTCATTTTTTTAATATTGTTATTACCAATGCAAAAGAAAAAAAAGAGCGCGAGGCATTAGAAAACCTCAGGCAGGTAGAAATAACAAAATGAAATCGTAAGCGTAAGCGTTTTTCAAAGCATTTCCGTTAGGCGAATGACCGCCTGGTTTAAAAAAGGATCGTGCGGGTTCAAATCCTTTCTGAACGGATTGGATTGTAGACATGGGCGTTTTTGGTTTTGAACGCAAACGGATATTTATCGGATTTCAGATTTCAAAATCGATTTTAAAATCCGTTTTTAGATATCCCATTTCAGATGTGCCGAACTTAGCCAATTCACTAGTTTGTGTTATGATTTGGTTTTATTAGCTAACGACAATCACAAACAATTAATTGTAGGAAGCAAGGATACTCGTAGATTTTCGCGATTTTCCTTCATGCTTTAAATCTAGGCTTAGGACTAGCAGAAAAGTTATGTTTAGGGTTAAGAGTAAAACTTTTGCGGCGCATTGAAAAATCGGCTTTTATACAATGATTTCTTTTTACATATTTTTTTAGTATTTTTTTTCGTTTTTCTGTTTGTTTTTATTATTTTTCAAACCATTTACAAAATCAAACCTAATTACTTCAGGTTAGCGTCCAAAAATGTAAGGTGCTCGACTTTTGATGTTTTTAGACGACATATCTTTTCAGTGATAAATAATCCCACCTCAGAGAAGAGCAATAGATTTCCGTAAACAGCAAATCGAAATCGGACTTCCGAGCACGAAATCTGACTTCTGAAAACGAAAGCACGAATATCGAATCCGATTTACATTTGGATACTTGTGGTATTAGATCGCTAGCGTTTTGGTTCGGTTAGATTTCTGAAATCGGATTTTCTTGTTGAGAAATCGTTCGGTATCGATTTGTGTTTGAAATCGGATTTTGGATTCGTTTTGATATATCGGACGCATGCCTACTGGATTGTTATCTTGTAAATATCATTTTAGCATGGATTTTTTTGGTTAGCCTTTGCTAGACCAAAAATTGCGTTTGCTAGACAAAAAAAATCTCTTTAGATTGCGTTCCCACATAGCAGAATAATTTACTTAATATCGTAAAAAAGTTAAATGTAGGGCCGAACTCGATTATATTTTAATAAGCTGTGCAGGTGTGTCTTAAATACGAATATACTGTGTACATATTTTTAATTAAAAATAATAATAAATATTTCCCACACTTACACCAATTAGCCTAGCCCCAAAGTAAGCACTGTAAGGCTCGTGTCATAGGATGCTGGGATATCGGATAGGATACATAATATATTGATACATAATAAATTATATTTAAAAGAAAATATGTATAAACTTCCTTGACTTAGGGTACAAATGCTCGTATTCATCATACTAACGTATGTCACCGGGATTCGAACCCGGGACCTTTGAGTAGGCGTCGCCATGAAACCCGGCGTATATACCACTCGGCCACAGAGTAGTCATTAAAAAATGTATATCCTATGCGATGTTAGCAGAGCATTGAAGGTGCGTGATATAATGAGAAAGATAAATAAATAATATTGCCTCTTCTAATCATTCCTTCAAATCCGGGTTCATTGCACTTATCGAAATAACCAGCCCAAAAAGAATCAACAAGTAAGAACTACAGTAAAATGGTCTTTTTGACCGACCATAACAATCTTGTATTACATCATTTGTAACTTTTTGCGATGCTCAGAACCTATCTTATGCGAGTCCTAAAAATATCATGCACGCTGCTAGGCTTTCAAAAACTACCATGCACGCTGCAAAGGCTTTTACAAAATACCATGCACGCTGCTAGGCTTTCACAAAATATTTTATTTTTTTATTTTGTGAAATTATTAGATAGTGACAATCTAAATAAAAATCCAATTATTACAATAAAATATAAACATATGAAACAATCTATATCTTCCAATTATAATATATGTATTAGTTTTGTTCATATGGGAAGCGCATCCTCTCTTCTAATAACCAATTGCGTGCCCGACGGGGTCCATAATGCTCATATTTATATAAGTACCTACCCCACTGTACACATTATGGTTGCATTAAATGATTTGAGTTTGAGTTTGAAAAAACCACACACGCTGTTTGGCTTTCAAACAATTTTGTAATTGGGACATTCTATGCATTTGTTTCGCTCCCAGTCAAGTGTGGAAGCGTCATGACGTCAACCTGCTAGAGAGAAGATACATCTATTATATAGAGTGAAATATAATACCTCGTTTACATGCAGCGCGAGTAAGGAGGGAAGTGGGCATGACGAGTAAGTAAACACGATACTCGTCATGCCACTGCCATTGGCACTCGCGCTGCCCGGCGCTCCCCCGAAGAGCGGTTTTTTGTGCGGAAGTCAAAGGACCGGCATGCGGCAGCGCGAGTGGCAAT